TCCGCAGCATTGGTAAGGCGCAACAATACAACTATTCGTACTCTCCGGAATGCGTGAGGTATCACGCCGCAATTGAAGGCGTTTTGAAAATGGCTAGAATTTTAGATCGGGATTGTCGTAACGCAGTAAGTTGGGAGCACATCTCCCTGTTTTATTTATTTTTATTTTTATTTTTTTTAAATAGTTCAGAATGAGCGTGTAATTTGCACGGAACCTCCTGGACATGTTTTCGTTCTACACTGAAAGCTCGTTAAGTCGGATTGTGTAGGGATCGACAAAAATTCGACTCATGCGGCAATCCTTTTTAACCTGTTCTCCATTTAACTTATAGACGTGTCTAGGGACCGAAAAAAAATTCGACCCAATAGGCATTTCGACTTCACCGTAGTTTGAATGAGCGAGCTTTTACTGTATTTAACGGCTATTAGCGACGGCGGAACCGGATTTAAGCGCAAATTGTCACCCGAACTTTGCTTTCACCATAAAATAGTCGAGATTCACACCGACGTGGGAGTGGGAAATCTGTGCGCGGGAAACCACCGAACGCTCCTTTTCTCAAGTTTCATAACTCAGGGAGGAATTTAAGGGAGTGTTTCCGTCGGAGACTCGAGCCCCTGGGGATCGCGGCGGGCGAGAAGGAAAAGATAGCGGTTTCCCTCCCAACCGCGAAAGTATTATGAATATTTTAAGGATGATTTCTCTAGACTTTTTTCCGAGCAGGCGTTTCAGTTTTTCTCGCACGATTTCCTCGAGAGGTTTTTCCGGGAACTGACATCCGTGAGTGGCTCTAGCTCCAGTCGATTTGATCACAAATCCCCGAACTTCGCATCCGAGGCAGGAAAATGAGGACTGTCTGTGTGTCTGCTCACTGAATCGTGGGAGAGGCCTCGAGTATGTAGAAACTTTAACGGGCAACATCCTCCTATGGTTTCTTGGAATGAGGGTTCAATGCAGGGCTGCTCGGGTGAAAAATGAGAAATATGGAGTATTGAAGATTTCTTTAAAATATTTCATGAAATTTCACGAAGTTGTGAAAAATATGAAACATATATTTATAGGGGCTGGGTATGCAACACGCACTGAAAACCACAAAAAAGTAAAAACTAGCCGCCTTTAATTTAATTTTGCATTTAATTTCGAAGAATATTTTTCAATATTTAGCATATTTTTCAATATTTATCATATTTTTCAATATTTATCATATTTTTCAATTTAAAACAAAAGATGCTTTCATTTAATTTTTCATTTAATTTCGAAAAATATTTTTCAATATCTTTCATATTTTTCCGAAATTTCATGAAATTTCAAGATTTTATTTTTCATGAAAAATTCAACCCTGGTTCAAAGCATTATTTGTATCGACCATTTCGGAACTAAAAAAGTCCATGGCTCCCAGAGAAAGATCATCGTTACCATACGCTCTCTGACTTTCGTCCGGCATTTTTTTAGTTCTTAACCAAGTTATTTGGACCGCGTCTAGCAGCAAGGAACCAAGCCACGTAAGCTATTGCCAAATTCAACGGGGCACTTTAATTTTGACTAGAGAACTTTTTAGCGGAGATCTCTGAAAATTTTAATGAATTTGCTTCGTATTATGCAGAAAATTCACTGAAATTTGCACAAAAATTCAGGCAACCGTTTTCATGTACACAATGAAATTGCCCCGTTAAATTTGACAGTAGCTGATGGGGCTTGGTCCCTTTCTATTCTACTCAGCGCGGTCCAAGTGACCTCGCGACGAACAAAAACACCCGGGCAAAAGTCTATCCTCGAGTCCCTTTATACTGAGAGTAAATAGACACTGTGAATCCATTTCTGATTGGTTCCCGTATTTTAAGCCCTCGCAATGTCGCAAACGGGAATAAAGATTACATTTTCACCAATTGCAAAGATTATAAACTGGAATGGACCGGGGAATTGGGGGCAAGAAACAAATGGACTGAGAGAGGGAATGGAGATAGGAATTCGGGAATGGAGTATCAAAGATTACAAAAAACGTCCGATTTGTGTAATCTTTATTCCCGTTGGTGACATCCATAAGCCGCGTTGTCTCTACTCTCTCTATAAAGGGACTCTTAGTCTATCCAGCCCAGCAGCCCATAAGTCAGGGCATCTTGTGCGATGGGGTGTTTACCCTTTTCGGTGTTTGCGAAATGATACCGCGAAAACACTCATAAAGCGCTAAACACACATCTCAGCTTCGGAAGCGTCTCCTCGCCATTTTTTCCTCCCCCGGCGAGTTTTCTAGGCCGCGGTAAGTTGGCACCAGAATCGATAGCCTTTGTTTGCTTTGGCAAAAATAATAGACGCCCCGCTATCGATTGCCCCGGTGAGCTCTACGTACAGGTAGTGAACCCAACTGTCGATCCGCGGTGAATAAAACAAATGCACAAGGGCTCAGCGTCGTGGTCGGGGCAGTGACGTGGCGTGCTTTGCGATATATCGATTGTTCTACCATTAAAACCTCTGGTAAACAATCGATTATTAAGGTGTTCGCTGCGTACACCTACACCTTTACGATCTATCGATTATGTTGCAATATAAACCTATGGTAAAGAATCGATTATTAAGGTGTTCGTTTCGAACACCCTGTTAATCGATCGTTCTCCATAGGTTTAAATGACATAAGAATCGATGCATCGCAAAGCACGCCACTGGGTCGGGGATGACGCGGTGCGGTGGTGAGGACAAACAATTTTTGGGTCAAGTAGTCCGCCGCCGCCACCACACGCCGCTCCGAGTTGTCAGATCCGCGCAAAAATTGATTATCTTTTCGAGGAATATGACGACTTTTCAACAATATTTGGCAACACTGCCGTGCTGAGGAAAAACGCCGTATGAACATTCGAAAGTTGCCAAATTGCCTCGGATAAAACAAGTACTTTAGAGGAAAATTATGCGTTTTTCCCCTTGAAATTTTCAGACGTCTTCGATAAAATTACGAAAAAAATCGTCTGAAAAAATTGAAGGAGAACATTTACTATTTTCCCAGGGAATTAAGTTGTTATCGGAGGAAATTTGGCAGCGTCTGAGGGCTCATACGGCGTTTTTCCTTAGCAGGCAGAATAGTGTCGAACGCAGACTGGTCAAATCGAAACGATAATTCGATTATTTTTCACGGTTTGCGGTGAATTTTCGGTTCGGTCCGACAGCCGAGCAGTCGCGTCGCTTGAAAAATGTTTCCTTGTCGATTCCGCGTGAAGCGTCTTCAACTGTGCACGCTCCTTGAGATTTGGCCCTTGTCAACACTACACGGTGGGAAGCTCAGGCAGGCCTTGCCTTGTTTCTCCGAGAAAGCCGTTCTTTTAACGTGCGTTCATGTCGTTAGGTTAGGAGATGAGAGTCGAGAAGCGGCAGCCAGGTCGACCACTCAGCTTCATGCAACGAGCGATGCTTTTTCGAAGATCGTCATCCATGGTTTGCTGAAGCGTTGAAATCTGAATTCTGATTTCGTGTTTACTCACTTATCCGCGCCAATCCACGAACCTCTCGAATATCAGGTCGAGTGCGTAGAGTTTCCACAAGTCATCGGGTCCATTAGATTTGCTTCGGTTGAGCGCCGTCTGAGCAGAGACTCACGTGGAAAACTGGATTTAAACTACAAGAAAGAAAATAAATAAATAAAATTATAATTATAATAGAATAGAATAGAACAGAATAGATAGTATTTTATCTAACATAAAACTACTGATTGTGAGTTCATAAAAGAAGTCTGTGACATTATAAGGTATGAAAAGAATAAAAAGTATAAAACATTACAAATAAATTAGATATTGAACGTTGAAAATTAAAATAGGAGAGCGTTCACTTTACCTTGTACTGCTTTCTTAATTTTACATACTTACATCAAGCCGTTTTTATAGCGCAGCCTCGCGCTCTGCGATGCCCCTTCTCACCACAGAGTACATAGAGTTGTAATGTGAATGGGAGAGTTTGGACTATGTCCTGGACGACGAGTTGCGCCGAGCTTCGGTCACTTTTTCGATACATTTTCGATCCAAAATGGCGATGTAGAATACGTGGTGATTCCTATCCTTTTGCATTGGATGGCCGGGTCCCCATATACCGCAAACAATCAATTTTGTATCGAAAAAGTGACTCGGCGTTACAGGAGTCTCGGAATTTGGGACCTGCAAAATGCTTAAAAGTGGTCCCGGCTCACCCACTCACATTACGACTCTTATGTTGCGCGCAGCGCGGAGCTGGCGCTCTTGGCACGAAAGGCATAGTAGTGCCTTACAAGACCGCAGGATACTTCATGCATTGCGCGTACAGCACGGTGCGCGCAACCGGCGCGGCATGCAACGCCTAGTACAGCGCCTTTCAAGTCTGCAGGATACTTCATGCGTTGCGCGTATACCACGGTGCGCGCTCGAGTCGTTGAAAAGTCGTATTTTCTTGGTGTCGAATCTACCCCTGCGTATTCTGCCGGGCTAAGGAAGAACGCTGTATGAACATTCGAGAGTTGCCACATCCCCTTCGATAAAATGTCCATTTTCGAGGAAACTTATTAATGTTTTCCTTTGAAATTTTTAGGAATTTTCGGTGTAATTTTGTGGAAAATTATCTGAAAAATTGATAGAAAAATATTCATAAGTTGACTAGAAAATTCGTGTTTTATCGAGGGGAATTTGGCACCGTCCGAAAGCTCACACGGCGTTCTCCATTAGTACGGCAGTGTGTACTCTATGATTTTCACACTCCCCGTCACATATGGATTGCATTTTGCAAAAAGGAACCACTAGCATTGCAATGTTGCTAAGATTGTGCAACTTCTTTTGTCTTGGAGGAAAAACCCGATTATCCATTCATAGTTTCTATTTTAAATTTCATAGTTTTTCACGATTTCCGCAATTTTATTGCAAAAGATGAAGTTGCACAATCTTAGCATCATTGCAATGCTAGTGGTTCCTTTTTGCAAAATGCAATCCATTTTATCTCCGGTTGTGCGGATATTTGCTCTATGGGTGGTGAATTGATTTTTTGGGTTTGTGTTTCAGTTACCGGAAGGAGTGGAGCTGACGCTGTCGGAGCTGGAGGAGATGGCATGCCGGCAGCAGCACCAGATCGAGGCGCAGCGGCAGCTGCTGGCGGCCAAGGAGCAGCGGCTGCGGTTCCTGAAGCAGCACGAGGCCCGACACCAGCAGGTCGCGCACGAGCACGAGCGGCTCCGACGACTCCGCGACCGCGTCGAGGCCCAGGAACTCAAGCTCAAGAAGCTCCGCGCCCTCCGGGGACAGGTCGACCACACCAAACTCAACAACGCCTCCCTCAGTAAGTCACCCACCACCCATCTATCACTCGCGAACCATAGAGCGTATTGGATATCGTCACCTTCCAGGCAAAGTATCACAAGCGCCATGCGACGTCTAAAAATTTCCGCCGCCATTTTATTGTTTTACAGAGAAATTGTTCGACGAAGCTGTCCGAAAATTTCACGGAATTTTCTTTGTGCTCCCGATAAAATTCAGTGAAATTTCCAAACAGATTCAACCAACAATTTCTCAGTATAGAAATAAAATGGCGGCGGAAATTTTTAAACGTCGCATGGCGCTTGTGATACTTATCCTGGAAGGTGACGATGTGTCGCATGCAAATAGCAAAATTAGGCATTTTGTCAAATACCTAGGCAAATAGTCAAATATTCTAACTTAGATTGAAATTCTGATTATTTTCCTAATTTCAGACAAAATAATTCATTGCTCATGCAAGAAAAAATTCTCACTAAAAATGTGCACACACAATAGTATTTTAAACAATTTTTGGCTCCTGAAGAGACACTGATCTTGAAATTTTTAGCATGTCGTACAATACAGAATTTTTGGAATTTCAACATTTTAAAGATACGAGAAGCAATTGAAGAGGAAGAGACAAAAAGAGTTCGTAGGTTCGATGAGTTATTTTTCCAGAAATAGTGAAAAATCGTGAGCTCCTCGCCATAAATCCACAAAATTTTGTAGACCGTCAAAAGACTATCTGCCTAGGCATTTGACAAAATGCCTGATTTCACTATTTGCCTGCGACAGATACATCAAACGGGTGAGATTGTATCAACATCGATTGGTTCAAAACATAAACATAGCCTCAGAAGTCAATCGAGTCATCTGACGGAACGGGTTTTTTGTGATAGATTTCTGACGCGCATGAGTACTAATTGGCCAAGAGTAGTGAAATTGCCCCGAAATTTCTCATTATCAGCTTTTCTGACAAATATCTCCAAATTTTGGTTTGAGGTTATGTTCTATTGTTTTGAACCAAACTATACATCGAACCACTATCGAATACGATCCATTCATTTCTAGGGCTCCACCCACGGGCTGATCTACTATAATAGTAGTACCATAACAATGCCGAGCAACGCAAAAACGCCATAAATGCCATTTTACATTTTTTGGAAACGACAATCATAGCAGAAAACTTGTGTACCTTGGGACAATGTTTTTTACAGAATTCAAGCAGTTGTAGGCCGAGACTTCCAGTGTTAGTGCAAAAAAATTCAAAACGCCTTCAATTTTTAGCCATGCAACATGGACATCCATCGAGCTGGAATAGTTGCATTTCAGATGTCGAAAGCGAATCCATTTGTTGATAATGCAGGGTGGCAAGTTTCTAAAAATTTGGGGGATTTTGCCCAACCCTGAGTTATTGAAGTCAGAGAAATCTACTCAAGAACCTTGGAATTTTTTCAATTATCAGAAACTTCGCGCTTAAAATTTGCCGTGGAATCTGTTCTAACAGTTGCTCATCAGCGACAGCGGGTAATAGCGCTGGCCTATGAATTTAACTTTTATTTACCAAGGCGGAGAAATACTGCTGGGTCCACACCATTTCGCGGGGAAAACAAAGCCAAGAAGTTCCAAAAATTAAAATTAGAGTCAAACTTAATTTTTTGAACTCTAATATGCTCCAGTACGAAACTGAGGGGGGAGAGTGTTCAGCTCAGCCATTGTATTTGCCTCAATCAATCACATTGTTTAGATTGTTAGTGTTGGGACTCTGAAATATATATCTTAGTTTTCGAGAAAGCTGACTACCGCGCTCCCAGCCCAGCGGGTAAACTCGAACTCGCGTGCTTTTTCTTTCGAGTCCGACTGAAAAAATGAACTTTTTCCCATTGTTTTTCCACCTTTTCAACACGATACCTGGATTAGCTCTGCTGGCTCGGCGCTTCCTCGTGAGTTATCGCGCCCCGCAGGGCTGACATGCCTTTTGTGACGCCAGAAAATGTTTCATTTAAATCCGATGCCCGGTAATCCTCCTATTTTTGCGTTGCTTTTTCTCCGTTTAGAATTGAAAACTCCGTCCGTATGCGGGTTAGTACGGAGGAGAGAGGACAGGTGAAATCCTGCTCCATAATCAACATAAGCGTCTCGCGGAGCCGCATACCTAAAGCTGCCCTAGTATCAAAATAAACTCAATAATATACGTGCGAAATTGTTTTCAAAACCTATTCGAACTCTCTTTCAAAATGACCACTGATCAGGTGCGGATGTAAGACAGTGCTAATATTAGTATCGTTTTTCAGGAGCTACCTTCCTTAAAGCTAGAAGAGCAAGTTACAGAGAAAAACTATTATTCGCGTACATCGCGGACCGCGCTAAGGAGAAAGGAGCCAAGCTACATCAACTATTTGTGAGGAGACGAACCGGACCCCCCATACAAAACCACCCTTTTGTATGGAGAGCTGGCAACGTCGGGATGAGCTATGACTCGAGGCGGGAAGTGCTGACTTTGAGGCGATGTGCGCATGCGCGCCGCGGGCCTCGGGCGGTCGGAAGTCGTGCTTGACTCCGACTGCTCGAGCCGAAATCAGTTCGTGTTGGGTCGTTTTTCAGAGCGACTTACCCACCCGAGCTCCGGCTCAAGTCGTAAACTTATATATCCATCATCCTTGGTTGAAGCGTCATCCCGCACTTTTTGAACCAAGCAATAAACCAAATGGAACATTTCACGATGTTACCCTCATTTCTTCGGGAGAATCCGTAACTTAGAGTGACCCTTGCACCTACTATAGCCGTTGCTGCCCTCGGGAGAGTGATAGCTGTCGTAGTTGGAGGCCACCGCTCTAGGGTGCGGATAAGACCCCAAAGGCTCTCTATAGTGAGTACCCGCCGTTGCTGCCTTCGGGAGAGTGATAGCGACTCACATATAGGAAGTCCAAACCCCCCCCCCTTTTCACCACATTACATGGTTGGAGGCGCTTGTCTTTTCCCCAGGGAGAAGTCGATCAGGTACGCAGTACCTAGGAATAGGTACTAGGAATTTAAGACGCTGATTCACCAGAAGGGTCGATCATTCAGTCGTTTTGTCTCCACGTATTTTTCCTCAGAACTCTACACCATCGCGTCATCGATCATTAAATTCCTCGGAGTTTATTCGGGACCAAAAACTAATTTTTTTTTCTGCTCAAATTTTTCACTTGAGCTCAAAAGATTGTATTTTTTTTTTTCTCTCAAAAAATTAGATTTTACTTTTGATTCGTAAAAATCTTTCTTAGAAAATATTGATTTTGTTTTCTTGACATTGTGAATACTCTCACAGAGGAAGCTGCAACGATGAAGGATCACAAATTGATTTTTCAATTCGGACAAAAAACAATCACGGTCACAGCCAACGAACTGCTGCCTCACATCAAAAAGGAGCTACCAAGCTTGGCATTGCAAGGGAAAAAGAAAATAAATGTACTCACCTCCCTTAAACAAATCAAAACGGAAAAAACCCTAAAGTTTTTACAAGAAGAATTAGGTATCCAATTACCCTCAACAGAAAAACTGCAAGAAATTACATCGATGGAAGAAGTGGGCGACATACTCGAGGACGGATCATCAAATAACTCCAGCGAAAACGAAGAAGGAGAAGCAGACGAAAACGCCACAGCGAATATCCATAGATTAAAACACCCAAGCAAACTCACAAAAGAGGAGCTGATTGCAGAATTGAAGAAATTCGGAGTACCGTACGTGTTTGCAAGTACAAAAGACGCAGCTAGGACACTAGCAAGAATACAAGAAGGGACTCTGGAAGTACCGCAGACTCCAGCAGAGGAAATTTTTCAAGACACTTTCAGTAGAATCTCTAAAATAGCGTCAATGCCCGTCCATAAAACATTGCGATATGAAACGCAATTACAGGATCTGAAACAGAACACTGTACAAAATCACGATGCAATGCACGGTGATCCGCAATCACAGGAGAAACCCCTCAGTGAACTTTCTGGACCTGAGAGTCGACAGCTCGAACACCAACGAATAACTTGGGAGTCAGCCACCAAAAATTTGGGAGCTATCCCAAAATCAGTAACAGGAACCACGCATGCAAAAACTCAGAAAGAACCATTTTCCTGGAAAGATCAAAGAAATTACAGCAAAACTGGCCCATCCTCTCAAAATAAAGGCTACACAGAGGTACTCAACCACACACATAAGCAGGACAGAGATTATTACGCGGATTTAAGCCAAAATCATAATAACCTCCCTCAGCGCCTAGGAGATAGGCAACACCAAATACACCAAAAAGCAGACCAATATTGGTACGATTACTCTCACCAGTCCGACCACCAGCCGACATCCGTAATGCTCCAAGATCAATTTACTACACGTGAAACTCAAGATCAGTCAAGTCGTAAAACTTTCAGTCAAATGCAGCTCAAATCGAGTCAAGTCAAACATACTGCTGAAAATAATCACATGCAAAATAGATACCTGCCAAATAATCCACGAGACCACCCTACCAGCGGGTATGAAAATTTCACGCAATATCAGTCTCGTCCAGAATGGGGAAATCAGCGTGAAAACAACAACGGAAATTTTCTGATGGGTTTGCGTCCTCCAAAACTAGAGATTCCAAAATTCGAAAAAAGCACAGCTATGGACTGGCTCACTAGATTTGAGATGATAATGGGTCAATACCCAGACGAAATGAAAAAACGCCAATTAATAGCATGTTTGGCAAAGGATGATAATCAATGGTTACAAAACAACATTTCAGATATTCAGGATGGTGATTGGCAAGGTATCCGGAAACTGTTTGTTTTTTACGAAGACGACAGAAAAGGACATTTTGAGGAGCAGAAAAAATTCGACGAAACGGCTCAGGGAGAAGCGGAAACAGGATTAAACTATGTGGAAAGAAAACTCAGGTTGGCCCAGAGGCTAATGCATCCCCCTCCGATTGCAGAAATAATAAAAAGCGTAATTAAAGGACTCGACGAATCATTGAAACATCTCGTATATAACAAAAATCCACTAACAATTACAGACTTACGAATGAGTGTGAAAAGAGCGCAAGATGATTGCCATATCCTGAACCCCAGTGATAGCCTGTTGAAACAGCTCAACAAGACGTCCGAAAGCATCAGCACGCAAGTAAAGACCATTTTGGAAGAACAACTACGAAATCTAAATATTGAAGGAACCAAGCACGCAAATCAAGTCACGTTCGCCGATGAAAGAAAAGAAAAACAACGATGGTCCAGACGGGACGCCTACGAAGGAGAGAATACAACCCGGAAGCCACGTGATTCAAGTTTCAGGAGGAGATCCTATTCAAGGGATAGGTCGACATCAACACCTCGTTACAGAGATTACAGCAGAGATAGATATTACAACAATACTCGGCAGAGTCGCGATAGATATCATAGAGACAATGATAGATATCCCAGCCAGGATCGGAGATCAAGATATTACAGCAGAGATTTCACCCCAACATATCGAAATCGTGACAGAAGTGCAAGTTATCATAGCCGCGAGAGAGAATCCCGACGTTATGGTAGAGAGAGCTCACCCGGATATCGCAGCCGGGAGAATCCGAGATATCGCAGTCAGGAAAGGTCGAGATATCACAGCCGTGAGAGATCAGGATATCACAGCCGTGACAATGAACAAGACAAACGTCGAAGTCGCGAGAGGAGTTCCAGTAGAAGTAGAGATGACGAGAGGGATGAAATATCAAGATATCCGGAGAGATCTCACAGCAACGAAAGATATCACGATTCCAGATATGGAAAAACAAATTGGAAGAACACAGAAGGCGGAAGAAGGAACAGAAGCCAGAGCGGAGACTCAAAAAACTGAGAAAAACTCATCTGGAAGTGGGTCTGCAGATGAGTCCACAGGAACTTAAGACCCCAAAAACCAAATTTCCACATTTTCGAAAACAAACAAATCAAAATTTTTCGGACAAGATTCAAGGCACAAAAGCAAACTCACACAAGAAGAGTAACCACTTTTTAGGACTCAGTACAGGCCTCACATTCGAAGCACGAGTAGCTAGAAAACGCATAAGTATCCTAAATGACACGGGAAGCAGTGTAACATTAATTGATAAAAGATACGCCAAAAATATAACACCCCTTCGAAATAAGCTTACAGTGGTCGGCGCATCAGATGGAGAATTGAATATCTTGGGAAAAACTAGGATTACAGCTTGGATTTCAACAGGAGTTACGGTGTCTATTACAGGCTTAGTGGTAGAAAACCAACGATACCCCGTATTAATTGGTAATGACTTCAACATGAGATATGCTACAAAAATTAACATCCAACAAAACACAATGGAATTGTGGGTTAGGGGACGAAATATAACAATCCCCACGAAATTAGAAGAACGGAAGCATATCCAGTCCCTAGAAACGGACAATTTAATGAACACCACTCCATTGAGAGGCCCAGTCGTTCTAAACGGGATTCAAACACAAATAATTTATGACACAGGCAGTTGCGCACTATGCGTCAGTAAGGACTACGTCAATCCAGTAGACATACGTCCCATAGAGAAAATTAAATTGAAAACCGCTGATAAATCCCAGTTACGGATAATGGGACAGGCGACCATAGAGTTAGAAATTCAAGGGCACAAAATTTCAGCCGATGCCTTGGTATCAGAAAATCTGTCAAATGCACTCCTCACGGGAAATGCATTTCACAAAAAATTCGTTGAAAACATCGATTTTGGACGACAGACAGTAAGTTTGAAAATACCAAATTGCAAGCGAGCAGTAACAACGAACGTGACGGCTACAGCCACATTTGCTGACCTAATCAAAACAAAGGAATCGCCAACCGGAAACGGAGTTCCATCACCCGAACAGGAGGAAAACGTTGCCAATTCAATCAAAATTCACTCGGAAAATGATAAGAAATCTCGAGAGAAGACGGAAAAACCGACAACATCGCAATGGGAAACGTATGATGAAGAAGCACAGAGTATTCTAAACATCACCACGGATATCGATGATGACTCTGAAAAACTGGAAGTACGCGTCATGAAAGATCAAATAATCCCGCCGCAATCCTTCAAATTAATAAAATGCAAAATCCCGAAGTATGCAGGGCACGAATACGGGATTGTAAACTTAAAAGAAGGAGCGCTTACGGCGAAGAAGCTCTTCTGCCCAGATCTAGCAATTGACATTCAACAGTTCGTACGCATACGGATTAGAAATAATAAATTGGTCCCAGTGAAATTATTTAAAAATTACGAAATAGCCGAAGTTTATCCGATTGAAATAAAATACGAGGAGGAAAAGGACAGCAAGGAAGAAAATACAGCTGAAGTAAATTCTTTAAATGATACGAAGGATGCAACATCAGCAGAAAAAACAGAAAAGGATGAAAATCAACACGCATCAAACGAAAAAGAGCGCCTACAAGAACTTAACATTAACAGAGCGCTCTCCAAAGAACAGGAACTGCAACTCAAAAACCTAATTTTAAAATACCAAGATATATTCATATGGAAAGACTGCAAGTTCAACGCAGGAGAAGCATTGGTACCACCACAGAAAATACATTTAAAGGACTTTACTCCCGTACATAAACCACCTTTCAGGACAGGGAAACAACAGCGAATAATTATAAAGCAATACATCGACGAAATGTTGCGAGCAAAAATCATTCGTCCATCAACTTCAGAATATGCATCACCTTTAATGTTGGTCTCAAAAAAGGAAACAGGACGGTTCAGGTGCGTTTTGGACCTAAGGGCTTTAAATTTAAAACTAGCCCCTGAATCGTTTCCCTTAGTAAGAGTGGACGATGTCCTATCATGCCTAAATGGAGCCAAATACATAAGTTGTTTTGATTTAGAACAAGGGTACTCGCAGATAAAATTAGACGATGAATCAGCGGATCTCTGTTCTTTTAGTTGTTACGAAGGACATTATAAAATGATCGTTTTGCCACAAGGTCTATCCATCTCGCCACTAAGGTTTAGTAAAATAATGGCAAAATGTTTTAGTCCCATGTTATACAGAGGATTACTGAACTACATGGATGATTTTTACGTGTATAACGTAGACGGAGATTTTTCTGGACATCTGGAGAAATTAGAAGAATTTTTCAAACTATGTAGACTGTACAATTTGAAGTTAAAACCCAAGAAAGCTCAAATCGCGATGACAGAATGCGATCTTCTTGGTTTCCATTTTACTCAAAATGGGATCCGGCCCAGTTTGGAGAAAATTTCAGCAATAGCGAACGCTCCAGTGCCAACAGATGTAAAGGGCGTCCGATCATTTTTAGCAGCAGCCGGTTATTACAGGAACCACATTCGACAGATGGCGGAGTACTCAGAACCTTTAATTCAACTAACTAGGAAAAACGCAAAATTTTGCTGGGATGCAGAAAAGCAAAGAGCGTTTGATAACATCAAAAGAGCATTAACATCAAATGAGCTCCTAGCGTGGTATGACCCCGAAAATACAACGTTGGAGCTCCACGCTGACGCATCAATAACAGCAATAGGAAATTGCCTTAACCAAAGATATAAGGATGGAACAGTCCGTCCAATAAGCTACTATTCTCGAGTATTGTCCCCAAATGAGAAAAGTTGGGGCACACATGAGCGAGAAATATTAGCAATAACATGGGGAATGGAGAAAAATCGGCATTATTTGTGGAACACCCCGTTCAAAATTGTCACCGACAATCAGGCGCTAGTTTACGTAAAAACGATGAAAAACCCATCAGCGCGGATGCTAAAATTGATTTTAAAGCTATCAGAATTCAACTACACGATACAATGGAAAAAAGGTTCGAAAAACGTCATGCCAGACTATCTGTCTAGATATCCACCACTGCTTTTGAACATGCTAGAAGTAAACAGCAATTTCCAAGAGAGGAAGAAGAATACCATGAAAATACCGGACAGAGCAAGGTACCAGCCAGGAGACCCTACAGCGCAAGAACAAATCCCATCAAAAGGAAGCCAAATCAGCGAAGATAGAAGCAAAACAAGCGCTGAAAAAACGAAGGAACCTGAAAAAGACAGGTCAGATACCGAAACGGCATATTTTGATATTAACGCCAAAGTGGATATGAGAACAGAACAGAAAAAAGACCATAAACTGAACGCCATATATGCGGCAATCAAAAATCCAAAGAAGTCAAATAATAAGACCGTAAAAGAAGCCCAGCAATACTACATACAGGACGGCGTACTCTGGAAGAAATCGCATGATACTAGAAAACTGCTACTAATACCAAGCCACATGGTAGACAGTACTATAGCTGAAGTGCATAGCTCCCCTTTTTCAGGCCACCAGGGAACCTATAAGAGTTTACAACGGGCACTAAAAAGATTCTACTGGAAAGGTATGCACTCACAAATAAGGAAATACGTGCTTTCTTGCCCGACCTGTCAATTTGCAAAGAAGCTTCAAAACCACGAGAAATACGGCATCATAAAAAGTCATGACATCAGCATCGCCAGCGCGATGGCAAAAATTGGCATCGACGCGTTCGGTCCTCTACCGACAGCAAATGATCAGGAAAAGAACAAGAAAAAATATATAATTGGTATTTGCGATTATTTTACAAAATTCCTATGGCTAAAAAGCGTAAAGGATTTGACGTCAGAATCTTTAGAAGCAGTCTTAACGGAGTTTTTCGGAATATTCGGGATCCCAGTCGAGATCGTCATGGATAACGGATCAAATTTTGCCTCAGAACTGACAAATGCATTTCTAGACCAACACGGGGTCAAAAAGACATATGTGGACACATACTGTCCGCGGGCGAATGGTCAAATAGAAAACGTGTGGAAAACAGTAGGTTCTTATCTAAGGTGTTTTGCGGGAGAAAACCATGCGGACTGGCCAAAATTCATTCCATCAATCATGGCGGCTCATAATTCTAGTACACACTTGTCTACAAAATCAAGTCCGTATTTTCTGCTCACAGGCCAGGAATTTAGGCTACCACTGGACGCAAAATTATTTTTTTTTTTCAGTCCCGAAAGTTCCCTGTTTCTATTCAACGAACCATCGTCCACAACACCCGGAACGCGGTTATTTGACATCCGCATGCAATCATTACAACAAAGCAGTTAATTCTTTTGGCAGCCTACCCGAAACCTCCCTTTTCTCTCTTTCGGTGGAAATATAATCTTTGCAAGATTATATTTACCCGAGAGTGGGGAATGTGAGGAGACGAACCGGACCCCCCATACAAAACCACCCTTTTGTATGGAGAGCTGGCAACGTCGGGATGAGCTATGACTCGAGGCGGGAAGTGCTGACTTTGAGGCGATGTGCGCATGCGCGCCGCGGGCCTCGGGCGGTCGGAAGTCGTGCTTGACTCCGACTGCTCGAGCCGAAATCAGTTCGTGTTGGGTCGTTTTTCAGAGCGACTTACCCACCCGAGCTCCGGCTCAAGTCGTAAACTTATATATCCATCATCCTTGGTTGAAGCGTCATCCCGCACTTTTTGAACCAAGCAATAAACCAAATGGAACATTTCACGATGTTACCCTCATTTCTTCGGGAGAATCCGTAACTTAGAGTGACCCTTGCACCTACTATAGCCGTTGCTGCCCTCGGGAGAGTGATAGCTGTCGTAGTTGGAGGCCACCGCTCTAGGGTGCGGATAAGACCCCAAAGGCTCTCTATAGTGAGTACCCGCCGTTGCTGCCTTCGGGAGAGTGATAGCGACTCACATATAGGAAGTCCAAACCCCCCCCCTTTTCACCACATTACATATTGCCACATTAACTTGGGCAATTTATTTTTATATTTGGAGACGTTCGGGCGGATTTTTGTTTCAAATTTTAGTGAATTTTCTGTATTGCACGAGGCAAATTCTTTAAAATTTCAAATAAATCCACAGAATCGTTCTATTGTAAAAAATGTAATTCCTCCGTTAAATCTGGCAACAGCCGATGTGGCTTGGTTCCTTTCTCCTAAACGCGTTCCAATTCACACACCACGCCATAAC